TGTCACGGTGCAGGGTGCCTTCTCGGCTTCCCCTGCGGTCTGTGTTGTCCTGTCATGTTCGGTAGCTCGTGGTCTGGGCAATCAGCGCTGATCTCGCAGCGGGGGTTCGCGGATCACGAGCTGACTCTCCCCCACCTGTCGTTCATTCCCCCACTCCCATATATGTCTTTGTCTTTCTGTCCTTCATCGGGAGTAGATTGTTTTGTCCTTGCTTGTGTTTTGTGTAACTTATGAGTGCAAGCATCAGTGTCTGACCCTCTGTTCTCCTGTGCTTAAGGACTCGTAGTACGGAGATCCGGCAGCTCGAGTGGTCCGCAGTGTCTGCCGGCCAGCTCTGGAATCTCCGCTCACCTGAGCAGCAATTAACTATTGTTTATGTTATTTTGTGTTTTGTGGCGAGAATAAAGAATCTCCTTTCTCACTACTCTGCATCTGAGTCCTCTATCTATCCTAGACCCTGACAGAATGAGCATGAAATAAATGAAAGAAAATACTTTTAAAATAGGAAATAAAATAAATTAAACAAAATGTGTAAAGTATGAAAATAAAAAATAAGTATGAAAATAATACATATAAAAACTTTTTTCTAAATCATTTTACCTGTTTTTTAACTCTCAAAAATTCATACTCAATTTAACTAAATTCAACTAATTTTGCACATCTAAACATGAAATACAATATTAAATAAATACGTAAGTACTGTTTTTTCCTTATACTGTAAGTACATATATAATACAGATGAGAAGCGCACACTACCCCCGGATAATAACAGAGCAAATAGGCAACAACTGCTCTCCTCAAGGCAATCTCTCTCAGTCAAATCTCCTAAACATCCTGTCTCTCATTCTTTCTGTCTCTTTCATAGGCTATAAACACCTCCCCTGGCACACTCTCACTTTCAGCTACTAAAACTCTCCCTCACTCTCTCTCTCTCTTGCTGGACTTGTTTCAATTTATTTGTGGCTCTTCCAGTGAGATGACAGGAAGTTGGCAAACACTTCTACAGAAGGCTTCTTCGTCTCTTCATTCTCCCAGGATTCCCCAAGTTGGCTTACAGCCACCGTTGTGTGTGTGTGTGTGTGTGTATGACCATTAAAAAAAAAAACATTATTTTTTTCTAGAGGAACATCCTGTGGCTTGGCTACCACGGACACACTGAGATTTATGGTGAAACAACCACAGCTAAAAATCTCAGTGACCAGTCGACCAGTTATCCTGCTTGTTTCTCCATCACCACCTTGACTAGACAAAATCTGAGCCTGAGCAGTACAGGACAAGTCCAGAACCACATGCTAATGAGCAAATGTCATATGATGCATAAAAACATGCTGTAACTCCAAAAAGAGCATTTATAGAAACGAAGCTGCAAAAACTGCTCATTCTGAGCGTCCTCAACATCAGAAAGATGCACTGATTAACACAATTATGATTACCCACATTTACACATCAACAACACCAAAAACGTATCATGGCGAGGCAATACAAAGGAAGTTCGACAGTTACTATCATTCCTAAACACTAGAACAACTACTGAAAAGAGTAAAATGTGGTTAAGTCAGTCAAATCCTGTGTTGTTTTGCTGCAGATCCTTCTGAAAAGGGGCTAAAGTTTATTTTAAATAAGGTTTCTGATTATTTTAGCCTTATTTCAACACAGACTGTGGCATGAATCCATCACAATATGAGACATCTTTATAAAGAGAATAGTTCACGCAAAAATGAAAATTTGTGTTTGTTTCTTCATCTGAACAGATTTCGGGGAAATTCAGCATTATATCACTTGCTCACCAATGGATCCTATGAAGTGAATGGGTGCCGTCAGAATGAGAGTCCAAACAGCTGATAAAAACATCACAATAATCCACTAGGAATCCACACATCTCCAGTCCATCAATTATAGTCTCGTGACATGAAAAGTTGCATGTTTGCAATAAACAAATACAACATTAATACATTTTAACTTTAAATACTCACTTCTGACCAAAATATCAGTCCATAATCTCTAATAACGCTTCCTCTATTAAAAAAAGTTCTTCTCCTGTCATTCTCTTACATCAAAATCCACCAACATATTAGTGTAGAATGGTTTTGGACTGTTTTTACAGCCCTTGATTTGTGCATATTTCTCTCCCGATTCAGAAAAAAATAACTTTTTCACTGGATGAAGCATTATTATGGTTTAAGGATTTAAGGTTTGTTTAGAAGCAACAGTTTACCGTTAAAAATGATGGACTGGAGTTGTGTGGATTCTTTTTTTATCAGCTGTTTGGACTCTCATTCTGACGGCACCCATTCACTGCAGAGGATCCATTAGTGAGCAAATGATGCAAGTTATCATTCTTGGAGTGAACGGGCCTTTTTTTGGAAGAGATATAAATATGCTGTAAAGTGCAAACTGTAAACTACATTTGGACCCAACATTAAATACAAGAAGTGTTTACATAGAAGGCACAGTAACAAAAAAGGCCTGTTTAGTTCAAAGTTAGACAACCATTACAGAGGTCATCTGCAAATGTAAGCTTTATATGTACAGTCGCGAAAGCAGTCTATTGAACTGAAAATAGATAGGAAAAACTAAACTATGACTGTTTTTGACACACAAAACCTGGACTAACCTGCACAACTTTAGTAGAAAGAATAAATAATGCAAATTATGATATGACCTCTTTAAATAACCCAAATGAAGGCATGGCCTTGTGGACCAGCGATGAGAATGTGATCAGGCCGTGAGTCACATGACACGGGCAGCAGCTCTGCACATTCACTGTTCAGTATAAGTAACAGTCAGGCCAACAAGCCGCCGTGTTGTTGTGTAACTCTACACCGGCCGTTTGCACACTACTCTAGAAAAGATCAGAGCCCTCGTGACAGCGTCCACACTGATGCTAACCAACCATCACCCTCCCTTACATGACATCAGCACTCGAGTGGCTAACATTATCTCTCTCGCTCTCTCAAAACTATGAATGGTGGATGTGTGTTTAAGAGGGAGGGATCAAGTGACTCACCTAACACACACACACACACAACAGCAGTGAGGTGGCAGTCAGCTTTACGTCTGTGACTCATGTTTACTTCACTTATTGCACGGAATCGGCTCTATTTCCATGCTGCAGTGTTAATATTTACCTAATGATAGAAGCACGTCTACACACCCTCGCAAAAAATCCATGAGCTAAAGATGCTGTACTGACGCTGCTCATAGAACTGCAAATACTTTCCTGTTTGAATCCTGGAGATTTTGTGCAGTAATTTGTTGCACAATGTTACTAAATCAATAACTGGGGGAAATCAGAAAAGCCATGATTTACCTTAAAAGAGCTTAGAAATAGCAAACAGAAAGAAATATTTTCTTCTGGAATCACCAACTTAAAGCTGACCAACTATATATTTATTACACACAACAGGGATGCTAAAAAATTACACAACTAATAATAAACAATTCAGATCTTTAAAGAAACTAATGTCTGATATGCATATTGCGCTACACTTTGATTTGTTTTACCATGTGTAAGCATCACTACAAATCAAAAACTCTTAAAATGTTTGACTCTCCTTTATTTTGTTTTCTAATTGATTTGAACTACACTGTAAAAAAAATTCAGTCATTTTACAAGAATATACTATTTCAGTCTCTACTTCGAAATAGTAAATTATACAAATAATTACAAAGAAACGGCATGTTACAACACATTGAATTAAACATTGCATTGTGGAGTGAAAGTCATTTCTACACCATTTTTCAGTGTTTTTATTTGATATCTATCCATAATAAAAACAATAATTAAAGCATCTTGCTTTGCCAACAAAAAAACAGACTTCTATCAACATGAAACCAGAACTTTCTAAACATGAAACGAGTGACAAAAGTCTTTTTGGTTGTATATAGCAGGGGTTTTCAAACCTGGCTTCCCCAGGGGGCCGCAAAAGGGTGCTAGGAAACATTGCGGATAAAAATAGTGGTGATTGGTTGTAAATCATGGGATTAATTATGATTATCTTATTCTATTGCCATGCCTAGATACAGTATTCATTAGATTTACACATCTAACATAAGTTTAACAGAAGGTAGGAGAAAGATATACTGTTAACTTGATACTTTACAAATAATATTTTGATCACCTCTTCTGGCTTTAATACAGTGACAATACAAAAAGCAATGTTGTTTTTATAATGCTATTTTTCATGAACCATAATACATTCAAATATACAGTTGTCTTTACATTTTAAAGTGACAGAGTCCCCCACAAGGTCGTCATAATATTATCTAAAGGTCAATGTCATAAAAAGTTTGAAAGCCCCTGCAATACTGAACTATTTCCTCTATTGCTGAAAATTAAGCAGTTGTTAAACCTCCACAAATGAGCCCAAGAACACATTTCTCACAAAATCTAACCACTCAAGACCTATAATAGTATTTCACTTAAATTAATTTGCAATTATACTGAAAACAAAGTTAAATCCTCCATATTTCACAACTGAGAACAAACATTGAATGGGTTTGTAAATCAGCGGACAGCGCCGTGGTGCTGAAATCTCTGGCGCCGCAGCCTCAACGCTCAGGTCAAAACAACATTAGATATTCACATCGATTAAACTGGAATAACGTGCTATTGTACTATGAGCTGTCATTATGAAGTGTGCACTAGTAAAGGCGAAAATGGCGCATAATACAGTCCCAAAGCCAAGAGAATGAAGCAGAGGCCTGATGTCCATATGACTAATAAATACAAATGTGATTCTCACCATTAGACATCACCACTAAACCTCCAACATTCGGGCTCTCTGTGTCAAATCAAACGAACCAGGGATCATTCACACCATTCCCTCTCCATCCTTTGGCCAACAGCTCAAGATATATTTTCATACAGTAAGGATCCATAAAGCTCTTACTTCAACATGGACTGCTCATTCTCCTCCTCTTTCTTCTGCCTGTCCATGACACCGAGGATGATCTTCCTCTCCTCCTCGGTGAGGTGGCTCAGGTCCGGCATCTCCGGCAGGACAGGCCCGCTGCGGGGCCCGGCTGGAGCAGACATCTTTACACGCTGATGCTGAAGAAGATCAATAACCAGACTTAATCCATGATGAATGCAAGGTCTATCTGATCAATCATCAGTGGGTTTTGGTTGCTCAGGAATCAAAGCATCATAACCCACAGCAGCATCTCTGATGACCGTTACGGTGCTTTAAAACCCTAAAGGAGGTTAAGTTATTTTACTACTATTGAAATGATAACAGTGTAAGCTCTTAGACTACATAAGGTGGATTTTACAGCATTAGATCAATCATTCTCTGAGCAATAGAACAGAAGAATGGATACAGCTGGTCCTTTTGAAGGCAATGGCTATTGAAATTAACGTAATCCTGTTTAAAATTCTCCTCTTCCTCAATACAAAAAGAAAATGAATAAAGCAACGATGCATTATGAATAAAATAGTAGATCTCAGATGTTATTCCAGATTTCAGTGAGGATGTGAAATCGCCTCTTGCCTTTTATTTGGCCATCATCCTGTTCAATCCTGTCTAACCCATCGCTGTCATCGTCCTGGAAAAGTTCTTTTGCATCTCATAATAAGTGTTTGTTTCCCTTTTGAGTCCCTCTGCACCGGTGCCTCGCTTTTCTCCAGGTTTGGTAATCCTTGAAGATATCTTAAATACACAAAAATGGATGCAGCGACATAGAATCCCAATTGGAAGTGTGGGCGGAGCAAAGCCGCCCGACCGGGAGGCGAGCTAACCAATCGTACTACGGCGAAGGCTTAGTTATTAATATTCATGAGGCAGCGATTGCTTTCGGAAGGAAACGACTGGACGTCAGCGCGGCCTATTTAACATTCAAGAGCACAGAATTCGCCATTGGAACAGAAGAACTAGACGTCAGCATTACTCGATTAATATTCAAGAACTAAACTTTACTCTTATTCACTGGCAGGAAAAAAGGTATTTGTACATTAACAACGTCCGTTACTTTACCAGAGGGGAAAAAAATAATTGCATAAACTGTGCTTCAGTGCTTTTATTTTAATTTATTTTTCTAAAGTCTAATGTATGTTTTCATAAATGAGAGAAATGTGTTTTGCAAAATAGTTGTACAAGCAACTTAAATGAGACCCTGGACCACAAAACCAGTCGGTATATTTGTAGCAATAGCCAACAATACATTGTATGGGTCAAAATGATCGATTTTTCTTTTATGCCAAAAATTATTAGGATATTAATTAAAGTTCATGTATCATGAAGATATTTTGTAAATTTCCTACCACATATATATATATGTATATATGTATAT